GAAATATTATATACATCTTATTGCATGCAACTTTTTGACTAGAGGTCACACTCAACCAATTTTAACCCTTTTTTATATTAAATGTTAAAAATGTCTTAAAGTTTCCTTGATATATCATAAAGATACGGTAGCTTGCCTAAATCCAAGCTAATTTTCAAAGTTTCAGAGTTACACATTTGTAAAACCATTGCACGAAAATGACTTAAGATTCAAACAGAAATAAATAAGAACTTAAATTAAACAAATAACTTAAGATTCATATACTGACTTTAAAAAACTAAGGATTTAAGTTAAAACATATAAAACTATATCTAAATAAATACTTATTTATGAACATATTTCTACTATTCTAGTTAAAATGCAAGTTATTTCATATGTCAAAAGGAAAAGATCAAACAATTAATACAAGAAATGTACAAACAAGACAAAGACATGGTACAAAACACAAATCTTATAATATCATGCAGGTGAAAGAACCATACACTGGCCTGGAAATCCTTGATTTGTTTTCTATCATATTTATTTTTATATTTTAGATAATGTAATGAAAAAAATTTATATTCTGGACTGAGTACTAACTAATAATGTTAAATATGTTGAAAACGTTGTTAACATAATATGTTAACCAGTCAAAATTCAAAATTTTAAAAAATTCAAATGTAAACCACAATTGAAAAAGGTACTGTATTATGTTTATTTAAGAACAATTTAATTTCTTTAAAATTGACACAATTCATTACAGACTGTGTGCTTATAAACTGTAAAACAATGTTTGAACAATCAATGAAAATATCTAAAATCTGTGAACCAGACCAGTGTAAAATAAAAAGAGTGAGAACAATGAACACATATACATAGTTTGGCACATTCAGAATTCACCTGGGTAGGATTATAAGAATACTGATAGTACTTTGGCACATTGGAATAATCTGAATAAATGAACATATATAATACACAAAAATATCAGATAACTGTTTTTGTGAAACTCTTTTCTTTGGGTTAATTTTGTTACTTTTGCTTCTTTGTAATATTTTTAATTAATATTTTTAGATTTTTTCAATAATGATGCTTTAATTATGTAGTATGAATTTTGCAAGTGATTCAAATAAGTTACAAGAACTTGCTTCAGAACTAAGTATGAATTAATATATATTTTTAAACAGGTAGGATTAAGAATTCATTTGGCATCATTCTAATTCTTTTAATAGAGAAAAATCAATCAAAAATAAATTCAAAACTTATGTCTCTCAAGAAATCAACCTTTAAAAAATAAAACTTTGATCACTGAAAAAGATTAATGAATTACCAAAATTTGATATCTGCTGGGACATCACATGTATATTTTTGGTCCCAGATATCCGAGATTCTTTCACAAAGACAGTTAATCATATGACATACTAAAAAACTACAGTCTAACAACTAAGTAAGTATTATATGTCTAAACTATTTTAACATAACTTTTGATTAGTATTGCCCTAAAGCTTTCTGCTACAGTTCTAAATGTCAAATTAATCATGTACTTCGTTATTCTGTTGCTAAGGAACATTTCCATACATATACAAATGTACAGTAAAAAGTCTTTAAGAATTTAGAAAGTCTAGGAAAAGGTGTTCCAATGAATTCTGATTAAGCTGTTTATGCAAAATCCATGGTGTAAAGAATGCATGTATTTCTTTTAAATTGAATATTACATAGTGAGAAATATTCTATACTTAGTGCAGAAATTTTCTATATTTAATTCACGTTATTCTATATTTAGAAAAGAATATTCTATATTTAGAACAGGCAGATTCTATAGCAAAAAGTGATTAAACAAGCTAATTTTACACAACATGAAAATATATTTACAAACTACATAATACTTTTGACATATGAAATAAAATACAATCAAATTACTTCAGAAATTGCTTATAATATCAAATCTTATTGGCACATAGGATTTGTAAGTTTCATGAGTATAACATATTATGCGGCAACACTGAGTATCTTAAAAAATTAAAATCGTGAGTTCTATTCTAATTGGCACATCAGATTTGTAAACTTCATGAATATAAAATATTACGTTGTAACAATGGAGTATTTTTTTTATATAAAAAAGGTGAGTTCTACGCTAATTGGCACTGCAACATGAGATTTGCAAGTATCATGAGTATAGAATATTATGCTTACACTAGAGTATTGCAAGTGATGATAATCAAAACTATGAGCATTTAATACATAAGAAAAATGGTTTGATTCAAAAGTTGAGATTCAAAGCAAAACAAATAGTAAAACTAATTATGTACTTTTAAAAACTATAAATTTATTAATTAATTTTTCTTTTCACCTTGTTTTTGGTGGAATTGATGTAAAGGTCAGAAAATCAAATTCAAATCGAATAAATTTCATAAAAATCTCTTATTTCATATGATGGCAAGAATATGTCTATTTATTTTTACAATGTAAGATCAATAGTTAAACAGTATTTTTTACAAGAACAGTAACAAACATGAAAACTTTGGTGGAAGACTCACTAATAAAATCATCTCTTGGCATACATGCGGTTGGCACAATAGAAAAAATACTGATTCCAAAAGTAATAAGTAAAATATTTTGGATTTCTAAACATAATACAATATGAAACAGGTGAATTTCGAAAAAGATATGAGCCGTGTCATGACAAAACCAACATAGTGGGTTTGCGACCAGCATGGATCCAGACCAGCCTGCGCATCCGTGCAGTCTGATCAGGATCCATGCTGTTCGCTAACCAACTCTATTACAAGTAGAGAAACTGATAGCGAACAGCATGGATCCTGATCAGACTGCGCAGATGTGCAGGCTGGTCTGGATCCATGCTGGTCGCAAACGCACTATGTTGGTTTTGTCGTGACGCGGCTCATATATGTGAAAAATTGGTTTCAATTTTCATTGTGAAAACCTACTTAATATTGTATTAAGATTAAATTCAATTTTTAACACAAAATAAATTAAAATGAAATATCAAGAAAGTCTGAAAAAAAGTCATATGATAAAAAAATTTGACATTATATATTAATCAGTTAATTGGCACAAAGGGAGGATGGTTAAAAAATACTGACATGGCAACTTGAAGACCATAAGCTAAATCTACACACTTACACACACACACATATTTGACTACAATTATGGAAGCTCTGTACAGGATTGGTATTTTTTGGAAGAACGGGTTTTGTTGTTCATCTGTTATACATGAATGAAAAACAAACGTAACATTCATGTCAGATGAGATGTTCTATATAAAATGTGCATGCCATGTTTCAAGCAACATGTTCACTAACAGGAAAGATGTCATCAGTAAATAAAATGATGTCATCAATGATGTCACATATGCTTGAACAATGACGTCATGACCAGCTCATGAAAAAATGACCAAAATAATGCCTAAAAAAACACCCAAATCAAGATGAAAAAGCCCAAATTACTAGACAAATACCCAAAATGGTAACATATACCCAAAAGCCTGTCACCTACTGTTCTTGGACTTAAAACAATATTTTCCGCTTGATTTCAATTTTTTTTAAATTATTTTTTAAATATTTCGAATATTTTCTGTTGTGAACATGTTGCTAATGATCATGATCTTTAACAATATAATACTGAAAATTTAACAACTAACTGTAACAAAAACACAACAGTATTGTTAATGCATTAAGTATGGAAGACTTTTGCACTGAGATTCAATAACATTAAAAATTGTGTCATATATATATACCTATATTATGATTTTCAAACTTTTTTGTTTTTCATTCAAAATGTTTAAATTTTCTTTTCAAAAAATGTAATTTGGTTATTTGGACAAGTCCATTTAAGATTTAGCATGTTATAGGTTAATTATGAAAAGACTAGGATAATCTGAATTGTAAATAAAATCAACAAAAAGTTTGTCTTACTATTGGGACTAGAAACTTACACATTAATGCACATTCATTATTGCAAAGGTTCAGACTAGACATTCAAAATGTAATCATATACTTAAAACAGTAACATATATAAAAAAAATACGTATTTACAAAAGTAAATACACACCACAAAAAAAAATATCATTTCATTATTGCTTTAGATACACTTTGAGACAATACATGTATAAGATCAAAAAAAGTCTTGTTTTAAAAATGAAAATCTGTGTTAACGCAACTATAAAATTTCTTAAGCTGTCTATGAAATTACTTGTCATGGATTGCTCATTTCATGGAAACAGTTGGTTTTCAAAAATAAATCATTTTCAAAACAAGAATTTACAGTCTAATTTGTACTATAGTTTCTACTCTAAAACCTACTCTATTACCATATGGTATATAAATTGAGTATTTAATATCAGGTCATTTCTTATCAACAAAACTAATCCTAAGGCATTATTTCACAGAGTAAAAAAAAGTTTCTTTTCGTATCAATATTAACTTATATACATATAATCTGTTTCAACAATCATGGATATATTATTTACATTAAAACATGCAAAAACTAGAGTCATAAAATCACAAAAAGAGCAACATATACATCAAAGAAATTACATACATGAATTCCTGTCTTATTTTATGCCTTCTGGTCCCCTTTTTTCCCAAAAATTCTCTTAAAACAACATGCATCAAATGTACCTCATCTTGTACAACTATATTCCCACTAACTGTTAAGGGAATCAAAGAAAACTTGACAAGTAAATGTGTTTTTTTTTTCCCTAAAAAAATACAGGAATAGTTTGGAAGGAATGTTTGCAAAGAGTAGAAATTGAAAATTAACAAACAATATACATGCCATTATTCCAGAGATTACCTTGTACAGTAATATTGTTTTAAAACACTTTTTGGTAATCAATTTATTTAAGTTGAAAGTCTATAAAATCAAACATAACAAAACCAAATTTTCAAAAAAAAACCAAAGAAAATTCATGATGAATTTTTGTACTTAGTTGTAGGTCGAAAATTTTAGAACTTATTCTTTCATTTACGCTAGCTGGTTTATGTGTACCTTGTACCTAGAAAGCACTTCAAAACTAGTTTTTAAATCAGCACTAAAAATCAAGCACATCAATGCATTAAGCACTACATATATTTTCAGCTTTCAAAAATATATCATTTTTTTTCTAGCCCTCTTATAATAACAGCAGTATATGGTGTGAGGCAAGGTTCAATACTTGCTCCAAATCTGTCTTAACATTTCATTGTTACTAACACAAAGAAACTAATCTTTTGTATAGACTGCTTCATTGTTACAAACATAAAGACACCAATCTTTCGTACAGTCTGTCAAGTTATGGAGATTCCTGTGAACTAAGTTCTCCATCACCGTCACTGGTTTTATTAGGGGAGCAGAAGTTATATCGATGGTTCATGTGCTGCGAGAACGACCCGGAGTGAGAGAATCTTTTACCACATTTTTTGCATTGGAACGGTTTTTCTCCACTATGTAGTCTTTTGTGTTCAGTCAAATGATGTTTATGCTTAAACGACTTTGAACATTTGTCACAGGCAAATGGGCGTGCACCTGAAAAATACATGTATCATTTATATATAACTGAGAGCAAAAGAGCAGAAAAATGATATCTATCCCTAGTACTATGGTGCAAGAGAAATTATCATTGTCAATATTATATGCTATTCAGGTCTTGGACAATCGCAATTGCTGAAAATGGTGAGAAGTAAAAACGGCACACCTTTGTCATCATAATAACTATAAAAATTACATGTAGTTCATAATTAATTCCTAAATATAACCATATAACATTTAATTTTCAATATTCCAGAGTGTACCATCTAACCAAGTTCAACCTCTTGAAAAAAATGTTTTCTTATATTATATTTTATAGAAACTCTTTAACCTTTGGCATGCTGGCATCAACTAATAATACCATTGAGACAAGTGCACACCAAGACAGCTTGAAAATCCATGCCGTCTGCTCAAAGTCTACACTATTCAGCCAGTACTTAAGAATTTCCCTAACATAATCATGGCTGGTTTTATTCAGAATGAAAGTTTGTCAAGTCCATTTAAGATATTTAGCATGGTAAGGGTTCAAGAATCGTACATGTTTTACCTGAATGTTCGTATTTATGGCGAGCAAGGGACGACTGTTTGCTGAACACCTTGTTACACTGATCACAGCCATACGTTCCTTCGTCACGATCAACCTTGTGATTCTTCCAGCATTTACGCTTCTTCTTAGAAGGCTGGTCATCATCTGTTGATACAGAATCATCAAAATCTAGCTGAACCTCTTCTGCTTCCATCTACAATGAAAGAAAAGATGAAAACATTAATAACATTGTATGATCAAACTTCCTGTATTTGTGTCTGAATCATTTAAGTAAAGTTCCGGTAATTTATCATTATTATATGACAACACAAACTGGTGGTCAAATTTTTTTTAAATTATCAATTATCATTGATTTGATCACTTTTTCTCTTTATTTCAGGCTTTACATTCTTTTAAATCATTCAGTATTTCAAAATGTTTGAAAAAATTGAATTGGTGTTAATTAGCGGAACTTTACATCATGATCAAGATATTTTTGAATCTGAAAATATTCTTGACATATGAAATGAAATAGCATCATTAAAAGTTATACAATGTATGTCACAATAGTCCATGATTCAAGGTAAAAAATGTTCAAAATAACTAAACATCTTCAGATAAAGGAATTTTTTATAAACTTTCAAGTCTTTTGTGTGCTTGAACTTAAATTCCATACATCTCACAACTTTGAATGACAATATAGGCTTTTGGATAATTTAACATTTTAAATATGCCATTAGTTTGTATAATTATATATATATTTAAATCCCTATGTACCCTTGAAATGTACATTTGTACTTGTATCCTTAACCATGGCAAAAGGATATTTCCTGGTAAGGACAACCTTTGCTTGAGTTTAAATGCACCTAAGTTAAAAGCTATTGCCAACATAAAAATTCACTTTTACTTCTGTATAAAATCTTAATAAATTACTTTTATATTCAATAGTAACATTTGTCACAAAATGAATAACTTCCATCAAATCTAACTAGAATTAATTTAGACATAAGAAAGAGACATAATTATCTTTGTTTTTATCCTCTTTTCTACATATAATTGCTTACGATAAAGATATAAACCAGTTTTCTGTTATATACATACATGTATATGAATCAAAGCGAAAATAATTATGGTTTACTATATAGCTTTAATGTTTTATCGTTTTCCGCCAAGTAAATGAACCAACAATATTTTCCTTTTTTTTTAAATCATGTGCCTATATCAAAAATGCCTTCCATCGAGAGTTACTACTGATAGACAATTCTATTCACCGACATGTTAATTTCGCCTCTCACTTGCGCGCATCCATATTTGAGAAGATTAATATCAATTGTTTTAGCTTAGTACAACAGCTCATTGCCAAAACCATTAATCAATTGGATCATATCAAGTCCCAAGAGTGGGAACGCTACAAAAGTTTTTTTGTGATCCGCTAATTCAAGTATCAAAAAATAAGGAACTTCTGAGTTTTGTATCATATCCCAGAAATCATAGCGAGTTGTCTATTTTTTTTCCCAAAACCCTTTTCCCCATTAGTTTGTACGAAATCAATTATCGGGAATGTATCGCTTATTGTGCGGGACATGAAATGAAACAAATATGCCTCATTTTGAATGAGTGCTGTCCTGAACAAGTTATAAATCATCTACGTAAATACACCATTATTGTAAAGAGGTAAATCAATAGTGCGATTTCCATGGCAACCATTTTTGACAAATTTCAATATTTATCAAGGATGTTCCAAAGTTCTATGGATCTGTAGATGTTTTGTACATCAATATAGATTTTACCATTTTAACTGAGGCATTTCTGACAGTATCTTTAATGTAAATATCAATCAGGCAACAAACCACTAAATTTTTCACGACCCATCACGAGAAGCCATTAACGGTTACAATTTGTTGAATAGGAAAATACAGAAATAATCATTAAATGCAGTCCAAAACTGAAAATTCTTCAAAAAGATTTGATTCATTTAAACGTTTAAAAGTTATAGATTAAATTAAAAATTTAAAACTGATATAGCTTTATGTATATTCATGTATTTCTACTTAAAATTGAACCTGAAAATCATACAAACGGGACAAAAATGTTGATGACACAGATTTGATGATATGATATAATGTGTTAGTAAATGTTTTAAAGTGCAAACTAAGTCAAATTTTTCTTCTACGCTACTAACAAATTGATATTCTTCACATAGGCTGGCCACATTGTATGAACAATGCGTTTTAAAATTTGTGTTATTCTGTTTCAAACAATAACCATGCAAAATCGTTGGTGTATTTGCATCTATGAAGTGAACGGCGGGTCAGCTAGGTGCGCCACGAGCCTGGTCGTACCAAGGGTTAGCAATATGCAATAGGGGGGGTGAAAATAATCTCACTACAAAGTGATGGGTTGTAAAGGTATAAAAGCATTTTTATACACAACAAATAGGGGAAAGGTGAACTGTGCGAAAATGTAACTGCGCTTTTCAAAATGATTTTTTAAATCTTATAAATTTCAAATACTTTGAAAATCAACTTCAACGCAAACATGAAATTCTAACATAAGCAATGCGTAAACAGCAATATTTTTGATAGAGTCATTTTTTAATGGTCTTGATTTTTAAAAGTAAAGCATTTTAAATTGTCCAAAAACTTGTTGCAATATTATGATTTCTCAAATTCTCAAAAAATTTATACTTATAGCTTTATAATCTTGTTGTAGCTATTTTTTTTAATCTTAATAATTTCAGCTTTTATGCTTACAGGCTTTCCCATAATTTTATTTAATTCTTATTTTTAGTATTAAATAGAGGATATTCAAGTTTTTTCTATAAATACATGATTTATTTTCATCGAGTGGTATGAAAATAAATATTTCATGAGTGGCGGTAGCCACGAGTGAAATATGGTATTTTCATGCCACAAGATGAAAATAAATCGTGTATTTATAGAAAAAACTTGAATTTTCTGTAATTTTTTTTTTTGTCCAATTATTTATTTTTTTTCTTTGAATTTTTTTAACCCTTAACCTGCTGGAACCAAAAGTGATTCATATTTTGCCACCATGATAAAGACTGGCCAGGATCTGAGGTTATAAAGATATTCTCTGAGCTCAAACTCAAATCTCAGGCATTTGATTGGTTAGAAATTGCCACAGAATGTACACTGACCAATGAAAATCCTGAGATTTGAGACAGAACCCAGAAAAAAGTTTTATAACCTTGAGGCTAGGTCTGTACAGTCTGAGCATTGTCTGTGCTGCTGAAAGCTCATTTGTTCATATTTTGATATTGCAATCACATTGAATAGACTGGTAGGCAAACCCATTACACAAATCAAGCAGGTTAAAGGCTAAAAACTTGTTTCTCTTTAAAGTGAAATGACTGGAGAACTGAACACACAAAAGCAAACCAAACATACAATCAGGAACCAGATGACAAATGACTTTGAATTTTACATAAAATATTTGAATCTTGTTATTAATAATTTATATGTATAACACCATCTTTCATTTTGTGAAAATTTGTGCATTAATTTTTAATATTTATAAAGTTCTAATAAGCGCCCAGGGGACCAGGGGCAACAAAATAAAATCTTGGTGATCTAAATGCTTTTAAAGTTATCATCAGATTATAAAAGTTGTTTGAAGTCAATTTTATGTAATTAAAAGCTAATTTGAATGATCAATTTAAATTTTACCCAAAAATATATGTCACTCATCTGGTTCAAGTCAATTTCATTTTGAAACATGGTCAAACAAAATCAAGCAATATCTTTCCACAGAAAAATTTCCAACTTTCCCCAAAAACCATAACAGTGAATTCCATTATCAGTATGACATGGTATTTTTGAATGAAAAAAGCATATTGATTTAAAATATCCAATATTTCAATTTCACAAACTTTTCTTTTCAAAATTTGAAATAACTTAATCCTCTTTGTTGCTAAAAGCAGCCCTCCTTTAGAAATAGCTACATTTTTTGCCAGATTTTTATGTGGAAAGATCATATTTTGAAGAGAATCTCAGTATTAAGTTTTTTACAATATAATTTTAAATACAACTCTAATTGGCCTCTCTCCACACCCACAACTCTTAATTTAAAATTTTCTAGTTGTATAATCAAAAATTAAGTTTATGCTATCCCAAACATTTCCCCATTTATAGCAAAATATTGATCAATATATCATTATGTGATACTTTTAAAGATGGGACACTGAGATTTTCTTATTAAATTGTAAGTGTAAATAAGTAGAAAAAACCAGCCTGATACGAACATAGCAATCTACCTGTCTCCACGTCTTCTTACGCATACGCTTCGGTTTGCCTGTCAGGATAGTAGCAGCTGCTTGCTGAGCGGCCTCTGCAAGAGTAGCGAGGTTGTGAGTTGCGAGATTGTGGGTGTCTTCGTGAAGGCGACTGCTGGTTGAAACTTGATTCTGGACCATCGAAGGACTACCAGGTGTTGCCATGCTAAAAGTATATACTGGTGGCTGACCATGAAGACTGTTTGAACTTGTCATACATTGAGACACATTGCTGGCAGCATCGAAAAGAATGCTTGGGTTACCATTTGGTTCAGGCACATTGAGTTCTGCATTAGGTTTATAAGATGGCATTTTGAGGACAGTATTCAGAAGTTGGCTCTGCATGGTCAAGGCAAGACTGGGCGAAAGTTGTTTGTTCACAAACATTCCTTCTTGCTGCATATATTTGAAAATTGGAGAATCTTGGAAGGATTTTGCTGAATTTATTGCTTGTTCAATGTCTGTGGGAGTAGATTCAGAGGGATTGTCTTTCTCAACTGATTGTTCACGTTCCTCAGAACTGTCTTTCTTTATACTAAGATTTAACACTTCACTATCATGTGAGCTCTCGGGAGTTGAATGCCGTGACTGACTGCCACCATGAGCTAAAGGGGGAGTTTTACGCACACTTAAATCAAGGGGAGTTTCTCCAGTTGATGGTTTAGTTTGCTGATTGGTCGGTAATGTCTTTCCCATGTGAATCATGCTTCTGAAGTTTGGGAACGGTTTTGGTACGTTTGGAATGTAAGTCGGGGATTTGGTAGTTTCTCTCTCTTGCATATCAAAGCGAATTGCACTAAGATTGAAGGCTGGCTCACGTCCATATTTCCTCTCCCTTGCTCGCATGTTCTGAAACCAAACTTGTACAACACGTTTGGAAAATCCAATTTTATTGCCCATTCTGATAAGTTCAAATTTTCTAGGGCGGGGATTAAGAACATACTGAGATTTAAGGTAATTTTGCTGGTCTTCAGTAAACTGTGTGCGAATCCTCATACTTTTCTCATCAGCAGCACTGTCAGTGTCTCTATAAATCTCCTCAACATCTTCTTCATCACTACCAACACTACCATTTGTTGTTGACTCAACATGACTCAAATCTGAGACGGTGCTGTGCGGGGACTGACATGTGTCCGAAACAGTACGATGGTGCACAATGTCTTTATTTTGTTTACACAGATATCGTTCATGTTGATGCTGAGAAACGGGACTATCAAATGTTTCACTACAGTACTGACATGACATTGTAATGTCAGACTTCACTTCTGAACTACCTACTTTCACACTTGTATCAGCTTCAACACTTTCTTGCGATTCTGTTTCCTTCTCAACAGAGTCTTTGTTAGAGTCAGGTTCACTTATTTTGTCACTTTCTTTGTTATTCAGCAGTTTTGTGTTAGAATTAACATCTGGGGAGATTTGATCTGATACAGGGCTACTGCTCGATGGACAGTCACGGCTAGGAGTCACATGTTCTCTCTTTGGCTGTATGAGAGGGGTGGTGCTTCTACGAGATGGAGTATGTGGTGGTGAGGACATGCTGAATACACTAGATGGGGAAACACTTCTTCCTGAATAACTATGAGGCGAGAAACTACGTGTAGATTGACTATGAGGAGACATACTTCTTGTGGATCTTCCAGCAGACGACAAACTTGACATGGAGGGGTGAGGAGAATTTGCGGATCTTTCTCTTGGTTGTTCATTTGCATGTTTAACACCAGCCATATTTGCTATGGCCATACTTGTGGGAAGATGTGCTGAGTACATTGGATGAAGGAATCCATCTGGAGTAGCAAACATTTGTGGTGGGTAGTAGAAAGGTGGCATTGCCTTCTGTTGGTTAAATGGATGAGCTAAGAACTGCTGCTGCTGTTGCTGGATGGTTACTGGTACAGATTGTAACGGGGATCGTGAAAACTGGGTCATGTTGTTTGGGAATGTCACTGGCATCTTTTGACCAGGTTGACTCGACTGGTTCATACCCTGTTGAGCATCATTGCCAACTCTTCCACGATTAGTAGCAGACAAACCCCAGCACTTCTTTGAAGTTGTGTGACTACTGAATGACCCCGAGTGTGAAAACCGTTTTCCACAATTGTTACAAACGAAAGGTTTTTCTCCACTGTGAATTCGCACATGTTCTTTCAGATGATGTTTAAATTTGAATGCCTTGCCACATTCAGGACACTTAAACTTGCGTAGATCTGTACTCTCGTTATGACTGATCATGTGACGCTGCAGACGGTATACATTTGCGAAAGTTTTGTTGCAGACGGTGCATATCTGTGAGGTTGGTGAATGAAGAGTTAGATGCTTATCTAACTGGGATTTCTGATGGAATGTTTCGTCACATTTTGGACACATAAATTTGAGTGGTTTATCAGAGTGGCTCTCTCTCATATGGTCACGAAGGACTATGGCTCGGAGGAATGTTTGTGGACAGTGCATACACTTGAGGACAATCTCCTCCTCTTCACTTGCTGCATCTGAAAATGTTCAACAATGTTTATTTCTAAAAACACAACATATTATACCATGATAATTATAACAATTTGAGCCGCGTCACGACAAAACCAACATAATGGGTTTGCAACCAGCATGGATCCAGACCAGCCTGGGCATCCGCGCAGTCTGATCAGGATCCATGCTGTTCGCCTACAAACCATACTACAAGTAGAGAAACTGAAAGCGAACAGCATGGATCCTGATCAGACTGCGCGGATGCCCAGGCTGGTCTGGATCCATGCTGGTCGCAAACGCACTATGTTGGTTTTGTCGTGACGCGGCTTATTTCTGTCTGCCAATCAGTTGCTCATATTTATGTATATGTAAGTGTTCATAAAAAATCATTTTACAAGTGAATTAAGTAAGTCAAGAATAGCTCAGTCGATTCACTAGACTAATACAGTTAGCCAATTTTCCTAAGTAACAATTCATTTCAAATACTGATCTTTTGGGGCGAAAAATAATTTCCAACACATAGCAATTTTTCAAAGAAATTGTATCTATTAAGAAAAAAATATATCTCTAAAATATACCTCAATAATGTGCATTTCAGTCACAAGAACAACAATGTATATATTACAACATGGAGTATAAAACGAAGTGAGTAGAACTGACACAAGTGCATTTACTCTTCTGACACTAAATATCTGAAATAGACTTATCCATCTTCCAATCTGGACTAAACCATTCATCATTTTTAGGGAAACTTTCTTAACAAGTTCAGACCATAATCAGACTGACAGAAGTGCAAGCTGATCTTGGTCTGCACTGGTCATAGAGACCATTTTATTGCCACAAACATAATAAGGGTTAAAAAAAAGTCATTACCATCACCATTGCCATGCTCTTCACCGTCACTGACAGGTTCCGGGTATATGACAGCAGTGTCGCCACGGTTGAGTAACTCGGCAATTTTAGCATCCTCATGTTGCTTATTTGGATGTTTGTCTGGGGCAGTATGTGATGTAATTGAAGAAGAGCCAATCTTCTGACCATCAGATGTGGAGTCTGGGGCTGCTGAGTGTATTTCTGTCGTAGAAAAACATGGCAATTTAATGTCATATTATAAAGAAATAGGTCTAACACCTTAGAGATAAGGTAGGACTAATGTAAAATTAATGGGTTTTTTTTTTGTTTATAATTTTATTTTTGACATGAATCAACTTCATAAATCATGTAATCAATACCAATGTTTTGCTTAACCTTGAAAAATTTCATATTTTTATCATGTAAGATGACCAGTTTGCAGAGATACAGAAAACATTTTTTTTACTTTACAAGTAATTAAAATATAACACTATGTAGTGATAATAAAACAAAATAGAGTATCTCATGTAAATATATGGCCACTTGCTCTATGGCCACTTGCTATACTTTACCACCACATGGTCCTGCACACAACTTAGGAAACAAAAAAATATTAACAAATTTGACCATCTGATCTATATTGCATTTCAGCCTTTTTTTTAATTATGAAGAATGAAAGTATCATATCCACTGTCACAAACAAGCATATTTGACTAAGTATATAATATTGGAAAAGTGAATAGCAATATTTTAGACAATTATATGTTGTTGTTTTTTTTTTTAAACTCACAAGAAATTGGATTACTAACCTCTTAGAATAGCAGCAACTTTTTCTTCTGGGGTAATTGGTTTGCTGGTAGTCACAGGGGCCTTTGTGCGATTGTCTGTGACCTCGTAGCATTGTGAAGAGTCAACTTCATTGTTATCGACTGATGTTGTGGCAGGGTTAGGTTGTTCTATTTTGTTCTTGTTGTCGTCAAGAGTACCCTCGTCTGCTTCCTCCCCTTCATCTCCATTCTCCACTGGAAATATATGTAAGATATCTCTTGAGGTAAAGTTTAAGTATATTTCACAGGGTCTCACACCATGAGGTTTTTTGCCAAAGATTCAGAAAAGTGACACAAATTACCTAAAACATGTCAAAATATGAAAAATAGGTCTTACACTTTAACAAGACAAGATAGGAAAATAGTGGTGAAAGTTTTTAATTCTGTCCTAATTTACACAGGTTATGCAGTGTTTATGTTCAAGCAAATAAAAACATAGAGATCTTATCATTATTTTTTGTAACTAAAACTTCTTCTGCACCTCTAGTTTCCAACTGATACAAAAAACTTAGGAAAGTAAAAATCAACAATAATTCATCTCATTATTTTTTTATGTATTTCTTCTGCATCACCAAATTCACTCACCTACTCACCAACCTAGACAAAAACACTTGGATAGGAAAGTATTTATAAGTCAATGATAATTCTCCTTATTCAAAATAATAGTGATAATTAGATAACTTCTTCATCAACACCTCTACAATATGTATGACATGTTTTTTAAATGTCCTTGATCATACTTTAAGAGCTACTTTTTTAAGCTTTAATAAGAAAGTCATTTCACTCTTCAGGTTAATCAATTTTCTTTTTAGCATTACTATATATATACAGTATCTTTGATGCTTTCAGATAATTCTGCATTAAAGCATTAAATCTTATTGGTGATATTAGGGCATGGGTAAGCCCACTAGTGCTTTAACCCTTACCATCCTAATTATCTTAAATGGACTTGTCCATCTTTAAATCTGGACAAACCATTCATAATTTGAAGGGAAAATTTAAAAATAGTTACTGATTTAAACTAGCAAAACAGTGCAGACCATGATCTGACAATAAAGATCTGACTGCTAATCATGGTCTGCACTGGTTGCCTGGGTAGATCAAGCGGGCTAAAGGTTTAAGTATGGTTAGGCAGTATGCCTGCAGCCTTACAGGCTGAGTCAATACACTACTGTCACTGCTTAAATGCAGTTTTAAAAAAATCAATAAAATTTTAAATGAACAATTTTAAGTTCAAAGTGAGGAAGAACCTTTTTTATAAATACTATTTTCAAACATAAGCATTATTTTTACATAAAATTAACATTTTAATCAATTTTGTGAAATATGTTCAACTTTAAGATAATTACCAACAAGAACCTGGAATAAAATTTAAAGATACATACTTTTTTTATTTTTGTTCCATTTCTCTACCTTTATTTTCCATTACATAGGTTTTTTTAAAAAAACATCACATAAATTTAAAAATTAACTTAATCCTTAATGTTCAAGTAAAAAAAGAAAAACAACTAAACTAAAGGTAACTTAATAACAGAGCTGTGATGTTTGGCGATTTATTTACTCAGCTCTACCTATACCCTCCTTTATTTCCCACACTTGAGAACTTTTGATGTTTTAAACAAAACCACCTTAATAAATGAATGAAGAAAGGAAAGAAATGGGTCAAATGTCTGAAAGGTAATAATGTAAATTATATTCAACAAAGAAACATATCAGATCTAATTTAAACCTCATTTAAAACCCTTATACCTGTATTACTACAGCTATTTTAAATGATAACACAACCCCACTAGATAATTAACTTCAACTTTTGATTTCATCTACTGTTTCTACCTTTTCACTTAAAAAGAAATTGAAAATGTATTCTTTCGAGATAACCTAAAGAAATAAAATCCCTAAAAATTTCTTACCCTGTAACAAATCCTCTCTGATTTTTCCAACGAAGCGCAAACACTGTTTCCTATCAATTTTTAATCGTCTATCCAAACCAAACATTTTTAAGATCTATTTTTATTTAAAACATTAAAATTGTCATTAAATTACTAAAGAAAATTTAATTTCGATCCGAAAATGTCTTATTGTAAAAACCTTTACTAATAACTTTTCTATGATCTTGAAATTTTTTCAGCTATTTACAAGCGTTTAACCACAATTGATGCTTAACGCACTCAGGTACTCCCTTTTTATCCTGTGTACCATCTATTTATTGACCATTAAAAGCCGTCCAATTATATTAAACATCATCGGACCATTTCATTGGCTCATCTCACCTATCCAATAAGGTAATTTACCTGGAGAAATCAAAGTTGACATAAGAGATTACCTGCGTTTACGTGGGCGGAGCTAAATCACAGGTCCTTGACAACAACCTATCACCTTAAGCGGCAGAATTTGTATCGACAAATATTGATTTTTGCCCATGTTTAGGTGCGAACTCTTCCCGATGAAGTTGAAATAATACTCAGAGAAATATCCAGAGTTATTATCAAACAAACAATCAGTACTATTGATTTCCGAGAGAATTTTCTCGTACTATGATTGAGGTTTACATGATGCTGGGAGTTTGTAGAGCGATTGGTCTCTATAACAATATAGAAATCTCCTAATATGGCAGTCAGATATCATGTATTTATGGAGAATTAAGAATGTCTAAATGTTCAACACAAATTACAAACATGCTATAAAAATGCATTCCACAACTTTCAAGCATTCCATATAAACAATTTTTTTTATTTCACAGTGGAAAAAAAATTAAATTGACATATTTACAATAAAACTCTGAGAGATTGTAAATCTTGAATTTATAATTTCTTTCATATTTGGTTACAAGTTGTTGGTTTTTTTTGTTTTTTTTTCCTTTTTTTTGCATGATGTATAACTATATATTTCACTATGTTACAGTTAAAAAAATTTACATATGATTTGTTATGTAACTTTTTTACATTAAATTCACTGGCTATTTTTGTCTGTCAAGATTTTCAAACGATTTACTAGAGACACACTCACTGACCAGGATAAAAAAATGATTTGAGGGCCAACAATGGTTTATTTTCCATGAATTTTAATGTATAAATTAGAATACCCAAGAATGTATTTTCATGAAATTCTTTCTATAAAAATAAAATTTGATGAAGATTTTTAAAACAACCTCTTAATGTGATTTAATGATGTTCTTTTTTTAATCTAGATTTTGTTCCCACTCCCCTTGTTGTGATTGGCTGCTTTAACAAAATTGGAGGGGGTGTAAAGGGGGGGGGGCGTGAGTTTTTCTTCAGTTTGTAAAGAATGTTTAATTCATTAAGACAAACAAAGCTATGATGATTCATGTCAGAATTCTCACAAATAAGCTGACAAAGGGCACCACTGGGATCAACTATTGATCCATTTTTTAGGGATCTCTTAATAATATCAAGGGATTTCCAAAAATTCCACCCTTTGTCTGTGAACTAAGAAAATCAATGTCTGATTTGAAAGGAACAATTTTTCATTTACTGACAGGCCGAACTATTTTTCTTGGCTGATAATTGTTGTGTATTTAACACTGTTAAAATTATACAAATATCTAACACTTAAATTGCTGAGTCAGACCATTTATGAACTTACAAAACTTTTGAAAAAAAAATTATTTTACTAATTGTATTTCATTTTGAATAAGGGATTTTTTTTGCTGTTTGCTAAAACAACTTAAGGAACAAGACAAAAATACTAAATAATTAAATATATCAATGTCAAAATAAAACATGCTACGATTTCTCTATAATTCGCTAGCCCTGTCAATATTTTAACAAAAAGATAAAAGTTAATTAGATATAATAGTAATACTTGATTTTTTTTTATTCATTCCAGTCTTGTATTTGAGTCTCAGCTTCCCCATGATACTCCATTTCTCATTCAACATTTTTTTTGTTCCTTTTGCATAGATCATTAACGTCCCGGAGCGACGAACAAAATTTACTTTAATTTTACTTCTCGTTTTGTAACATGTTGTAATACAAAGCTATTGTTGCGCAGAAACTTATAGAACAATAAGCTTTATAAACTTATAAGTATGTTAAATCATTCAAGGATATTGACACTGAACTGTCAATCCAATGACGGGGCCTTTGTCTCACGTCGGATTCTATAACCTGTCATATGACGTTGACTGGGAAAACTAAGATCTCCCCTGTGTAATCTATGATAACGGGGAATTACATTAATAAGCACTTATAAAATGCAAACAAGAACACTACTCACAGATGTGTTATTAATGGTTTAACAACAAAGTTTTCAAGAGAAATAAATCTAAATATTGTGTACACAGATCTCTGTTTCAATGTTACCTCAAAGATTTCAAGTACCTTCAAGTGGCTTTTAGCTTAAGTACTGTACAATGTCACTAATTGTAAAATACGTTTATTAATAAAATGTTACTTTCTGGCATAGACAGTCAAACTCATTTGTTGCTTTTTCAGGCTTTAACGCGGCGGCCAACAGGCTTGCCTCTAGAGTCATTAAATTCTTTAAGTTGTTCTTAATTGAAAAAGCATTAATTGTTGAGTGTTAAATATAAGAAAGACTGTTATTTGACCTGGTCTACATGTACGCATCTATGACTTATTACATGTTACAGATGAAAATACAAAAATATCGCTTAATAATTCAGGGCACTGTAATGGTAAGGGGATAGTCATATCCTTGATTTTGCGTGATTTCAAATTATCTAAACTTTCTTTATATATGTGACTTCCATTATCAAAGATTTTGCAGTCTCTGACTTCCAAATTTTGAAACTGAAAAAGCCCTGATAATTTAATGATGTCGGAAAATACAGTGATTTAAACTAGCTAAAATTGAGTCAAATCTTACATAATTATCTTAAGTACTATATTAGATTGTTTATTATTAAATATTTTTAAAATGAAATTAATTACTCCTTTTTTAGAGACTGCTTATTATTGCGACTTATTTTCAATTATAAACAAACGTTGTACTTTAGGATGATGTCATTTATAATGGCTCGATAATAACTGGTTTTCTATTGTTTAAGTTTTATTACTATGAATATCAAACATTATTTACATCATGCTTTTTTTTTCTCACAGAGTTTGCTCATTTAATTATTCATTGTCTTACTTTGATATTAAAGATTCAACCTTTCTCAACTGGATTAACTAAAATGTTATGTACTGTAATGTTGTCATGTGTTAGAGTCT